TTACCCTGAATGCAAATGGTGTTTTATGCAAGTTTTGTGTTGTAAATTTAGACATTGCGTAGTAATTGGTATTTTAAAAAGAAATGGAAGATTAGATTAAGGAAAACCAAATATTTATAACTTATGTCATCATTAGTTTCTATGCATGATTGGTAGATTTATGAATTCATCCTTCAAACCATGCCATGTCCTTCCTAATTGCTAGGTGTGAGACGAAAAATAGGAGGAGGGTGGGTATATTAAAAAATATGGATTCATTTGAAGCATAAGCCCGGTGAACAACAACATAGTAATTCGAAAGAACCGAACCACACAGCTTGAATGTGAAACTTCAAAGTTTCAAGACTTATTGCTAAGGGGAAGGTTTAAGAAGCTAAGAAAAAAGTGTGTTTGCATATCACCGAAACAAGCTCCACCATCGACTAGTAGTTACCGTAGAACTACTAGTAGTAGTGTTGCCTCTCAAAACTTGCTTTTGAATCACCAACACAGAATCTGCATTAACACTCTCAGAAGATGATACATAATCCCCCATTATCCCAAGCTCTTCTTGATTTTCTGTCCATGTTGATAATCCCTCCAATAGACTCTGATTTATTCCTTGTTTTCTCCCCACGATCCACATATCATAATATTTCTCTTTCGCCATTTCCAATATTGCCGCAACTGTATCTGCCCCATTTCTTACCACTAACTCTCTGTAGCTCACTCTCTCGTTTCTTTCGTTCTGAACCCAGAACGAAGTGACCACCCCATCGTCCAGCTTCTTTTGCATTTCATCATCTCCTTCACCGTTTGATGAAAGAAATCTTACTACTGTTAGGGAAACTCTGGGGTTCCCAGCCATCCTACCTGAATAAGACAGAGCCTCTCTAGAATCTGGTCCTCCAAGGAATAGCACAATGAAACCGTGGGTAGCTTCTTGGGGGAGTTGCCTTCTCTCGGCCTTGTCAACAAGAAGGCCAACCGAGCAAGGTGCATTCTCCAGCACTTGGATGATCACAGACTGTTTCCCGCCACCCCATTGCTCTGCTGCTGCGATCTCTCCGTCACATTTCTTCTCCAAAGGTAAAATGATGATAACAGAGTTGCTTTCCAAAGCGAGCTTGCACACCTCCTGATACATTGTTATTTTCGCCGTCGAAGCGGAGAAAAATTGGAGGTCTACGCAGTCTTCTCTCCCTTCTTGATACAAGGTTAGAGCATTCTGGATCCTTTCCCAGTCTGGGAACCTGCTGGCGAGCTCTCCAAATTCCTGTTTTTGGTGGTCTATAAACAAAGGGTTACCACGGCCGATGAAGTCGACGTGGTGAAAGACGTGAATGGAGAACGGATTTTGAGCTGTGGGATAAGAGACTTGAAGAAGGTTAACAATGCTTTGCAAGTGCTCTTTGTCCTTGATGCACACAAGTATCCTAAGATGATCATTTGGAGCTGTATGTTGAATTGTCCTCCTCTGGCTTACCATGTAAGGCTTTGAGGGATCATACAAAATGCTGATCATAGGTGTAATAATTCCCATTAGAATTGCGGTTGCGTACATCAGCATTGTGAAACCTGCTACCCCTATTATCTGCTTGTAAACATCCAATTGTTTAACAAAAAATGGAAGTGAAGTGAACGAAAAGAAGAAAAAATTAAATTTGGAAACCAACACACATCTTTGTCCACCCAATGGTAGTATAGAATAAGCTCCACTTGACCCCTCAAGCTCAAAACAAGGCTGACAGCAAGGCTCTCTCTCCATGATAGATCAACCATCCTGGCAGCCAGCAGAGTGGAGAGGAATTTAGTCAAATAACCTGAAATAATCAAACCAAATAGCGGGCTTAAGGCAGACCACCCAGCTTCCTGCATTGCATAAAAATCTGTGTTCAATCCAAAAAACACATATGTACATGGCATTAATACTTCCATCATAATTGTCTCGCTTTTTTCCACCAAGGTTGCCCCAAGCGGTGGTCCGCTCGGAATCACCAAACCTAACCAAAATGAGCCGTTACAAATGGCTAAGCCGAACATGTCTGACAAAAACCCAAACACAAACACTGATAAAAATATAGTAATCACGTAAATCTGATCCACTGGTTGTCCCTCTGGGGTTTTCCGGATAATCCACAACATTGCTTGGTGAGCGGAACCGAGCAAGAATACTACAAAAACAAATGTGGATAACAAATACCACAAAGCACATGCAGTCGATACTTCCGATTGTTTCATTGCTTCAAAAGCGGAAATAAAATTAAACCCAAAGGAGTCACTAATTAATGCTGTGGACAATGCCATAATCCCAACATCGGAGCTAAGAAGATTTAGTTCTTGAAGTACAACATACTGAATGGGAAATGTTGTCACCGCCATAGATGAGGCAATTGCTCCAGTCGAAGAAAATCTTGCTAGTTGTACGTCCATTGATTTCCGAGTACAAAATGCTACAACCGTCACTACTATGAGAGGTGCGAAAACACCCGCCACGGCAATACAAATTTGTTTTCTTCCTGATCGTGTTAACAACCCTATGTCCATTTTCACTCCACTTACAAAAAGAAATAACATCAACCCCATTAGTCCCAAGTTTTTCAGCAAGAACTCGGATGAAAGGGGAAACACCATGCTCACAAACATCGGGCTTCGTGCCATGAGAGAGGGTCCCATGATAATGCCGCCCTTGAAACCATTTAATCATCAATGTCAGGCCAGAATAACTTACTATTAACATTGATCATATATGTGTGTGTGTATATATATATAAAGAAGAAAAAGAAGAAAAAGGAAAGAGTGAAGGTGAAGGTACTCACAATCATGTCAGAAACCAACCTAGGCTGTCTGAGAGGCTTGAGAAGAATTTGAGCGGTCCGAGAGATGATAATGGTCAAGATTAAAGCAACAAGGATGACATTAAAAGAGAACTTGATCGGCTTTCCTTCATAGAAAATGCTAAAGGGATTAGATATTTGTGATCTAGAACACCTCAATGGAAGTGCTGCAGTTCCACGGTTGGAGAGCTGGAACTTGGCGCCTCTTGCAATTCCCATGGCGGGCGGGTGAATGTATTACAGCCTAACCTGGTAAAAGGACTAGTATCTATCACCGCAACAAGAGCAGGGGAGTTTTGGATGACCACTATGCAATGTGGCAGAAAAGGAAATCCCTTTTGTGTTGAGAATTATCCTTGGCACTAACATGCATTAAAATGAGGTCGGGTGTTGTTTTATTTGTTCTGTTTCTATTTCTATACGAAATATAAATGAACTCTTAACTTTCCTCTTTGTTTTAGATGAATTGTAGTTACCTATATAATTTCTTCTAAATTCATGCATGCTTGACATGACATGAGCTTCTATTGTTGGGAATGAAGCATTTTTCCCCTCTTTGGTTTAATTTTAGAAAAACGGTAAATATGTTCTGCCCACAATTTTATTTTCTCTTTGCGTGAAGTGACATTTTTAGTAATTATGTAGAGGATAGGGTGGTGTGGATACCATAAGACAAGAGGAAGCAATGAGAATTGAGAAATCAAAGGCAGAGCAGCTACAAATAAGGCGTTTGTTATGCATCTGACGTGCTTTCTGAGTTAAAGAGAATTTAATATGGATCATCCACAACACACACACACATATATATATCAGTGATCAGATGATTTTAATTGTTTTATTATGTATTCTTTTTAAAATATACTTAAAAGGACATTTGACATCATCTGAACAAGAGCAAAAACGAGATGTGAATAACAAAACTTCAAAATGGTAAAGCCAAACATAACAAGATATTAAGCTTCAGATCGAAAGATCTGACGTGAACATTGAAACGCCTAACAGACCAAACATGAAACTGCGGAACCATCGCACCTTAAGAAGCAAAGGAGGTCAGAATACGATTTTTAGCAAAGAGGAAAGGTGCCTCAATCAAATCTGCATTAAAGAGAAGTGAGGGTCAGACATTTTTAGTTAACATTGCTACTGCATGAGGCTCTGCTTATGTTTTTAGTTCACACCATATTGAGGCAGCAGCGGATGTAGCCTTTGTTCATGGTGGGCACGTGCACACCCTGAAATCTGAATTTTTTTATACTAGTAGTTCATTTTATTGATGGTGCCTACCTTAAAATTTTATTTGTGTCTACCTATAAAAAAATTTATGTTATTAATATAGGCCTGAACAATATTCCTAGATCCGTCACTGTATTGAGGGTTGTCCATAGAGATGGCAACTCAACCCAAACCCGACGGGTTTCGACCCGATCCGACCGGATCGGATTTTTTATTAAAAAAAATACGGGGTCGGGTCGGGTTTTTTTTTTTAAATGCACTGTTCGGGTCGGGTTTAGGGTGAAAAAAATCCGACCCGAAAAATATATATAATTTTACCCTATATATTTAGGGATAATTACAATAATACCCCTCTATATTTAATTTTTTTTTCAATTAAGTTACTGTTTTTATTGAATAAAAATATATTTTTTTATTATTTCGAGTCGGGTTTCTAAGTCATATATTCGGATCGAGTTGGATGAAACCTTAATTTCGTCGGATCGGATCATTGGTGGATGACCCTTTCTTCTCGGGTCGGGTGGCCCAAAAACCCGATCCTACCTGACCCATTGCCATCCCTAGATGTACAGCTTGTATTGTAATGAGCTATGTTTTGTCAGAATTGATGTATTGTATTTGAGTTAGGAAAAGCACTTCATCAGCCACTTTATATACTCATTTCCTCCCTTCCCAATATTAAACTCACAGTGATCAAACCAAGAACAAAAAGTGATCAGTTATCTTACTAGTATTAAAATCCAAAAAACAAACTGCACCAGTCGGGAATCGAACCAAGGTCTGTACCATGACAGAGTACTATTCTACCACCAGACCACTGGTGCTTGACGGATCTGGTGATCTTAAAATATTATAAATCCATTTGAGTTCTTATTGAGCACTGATACGGGTCACTTGAACCACACATCCAAGCAGTAGCTTAGCAGCTTAGTAATCTAAGAGTGTGACAGCGGAAGGAGGAGAGAAGGTTGAAGCGAGAAATGGCGAATTCTATTTACAGGGCTTCGATTCTTCAATCTCAGTTGCTTTTCCGACCCAGTTTATCAAATAAACATACTGTTCCGAAGAAGAGTAAGTTGCTCTGTTTTGCTTCATCACAACTCAATCCTATCCGGTTAGCACATTTTCACCTTCCCTTTATTTATCTATTTAATCCTAGGAAAGCTGAACACAAGTGTAGTGATGTACTTTTTGTTTGATTTTAGGTCAGAAATGAGTTTTTGTACTGGAACTAACCTCATTCCTCATCCAAACAAGGTGTTCCAAGCTTGAAAATTTTGTTACTAACGTTTGAATTCAACTTTATTGGGTACTAACTACAACTTTGATTTCTCTGCTTCTGTTAGGTGGAGAAAGGAGGAGAAGATGCTTTCTTTGTTAGCAACTTCAACGGGGGAGTTATTGCGGTTGCTGATGGTGTTTCCGGGTATAATCTAATTAAACATCAATCTTTTCTCACTCTAGATTAACAAATTTCAAGTCTTTTGTCAGCTATTCTTATTTTTCACATTTTTACAGTCCTTGTCTGAACATTCTTCTTTATTTTTCCCAGAAATGAAAATATGATTCTTCAACAAATTAGGCAAACCGTTTCATTGTGTGAACTAGCTTTTTCTCCCCTGGCGTTATTTGCTAATTTTATTTTCATTTGTTTTCCAGTTGGGCTGAACGAAATGTGGATCCTTCATTATTTTCCAAGGAGCTAATGGCTAATGCTTCCTCTCTTGTAGGAGATTTAGAGGTAGTAGTATTGGCATATTTGAAGCAATAATTTCTTTTGGGAATTGACATATTTTCAATCTGATTTGAATGATTGCTTAAGATAAAAATTTGGGTGTTTGTTAATCTTCCTGATTAACGGATTATACGTATCTACTATGGTGTTTATCTGGCTATATCTTTTACCAGGTTAATTACGATCCCAGGATCCTCATAAGGAAAGCACATGCTGCTACTTCCTCTAAAGGATCGGCTACTGCGTAAGTTTATAATATTCTCTGGATGTCTTCCCTTCCAACATCTTTCTACACATCGTGATACTGTCATCAACTTTGATTTTCCGATTGATTTGTAGTATCGTTGCGATGCTTGAGAGGAATGGAACAATGAAGGTTGCCAGTGTAGGTGACTGTGGATTAAGAGTTATCCGCAAAGGTAATACCAGGTACTGTGTTTCTTCTAGGAGTTGTTTCTCAATATTGTTGTGGGCAAGGTTTAGTGATTAAGTTATTACAGGGCAGATAATCTTTTCTACGACCCCACAAGAACACTACTTCGACTGCCCATATCAATTGAGCTCGGAGTTAATTGGCCAAACGTATCTTGATGCCGTGGTAATGAATGAATGCTAAGTTTACCTGTCAATTCTCATTGTCATTTATCCTATCAGTAGCTGCTTTTTGTACAAAAACCAAAATCAAGTGACCGTGTCGACACAAAGTTCAATTTGCAAGGGACAATTATCGACTTAAACGCGTTGCTTGTTTCTTGTATTTTCCCGTAAAAACAGGTTAGCAGTGTGGAATTAGTGGAAGGAGACACCATAGTTATGGGCTCCGATGGGCTCTTTGACAATGTTTTCGATAGAGAAATCATTTCCACGTTGGCCATACATAGCGATGTAGTGGACGCTGGTATGTGTTTCTTTCTAGTTACTGTTGTTTAAGTAGGATAGTAAATGAATCAAATTTAAACGAATATCTATCTATTCATGTTAACATATTTTCGAACATTAAACAAACACTAACAGAACAGTTTAACATGTTTGCAAATACTAAACGAACATATTTAAAGACTAATATAATTTAGTATCACATCTCAGACTATAAGAGTAAGAGTGGGACTAAATTGAATAATCAATTTGTAATGGTAGCAAAGGCATTGGCTAACCTGGCAAGCAATCACTCCATGGATTCAAGGTTCGAGTCTCCCTACTCATTAGAGGCCAGATCCAAGGTGATGAACTACTAGTCAGAACGATTAAGTTAAAACCTGGCATGAATCGATTTAACATGTCTTGATGGTATTCCTTTACAGGGTTTTGATGTTCCTTTTTGGAAGAAAATCCTGGGGATGAAGCTAACAGGTGGGTTTTATTTTGTTTTTTCCTTTGGCAATGATATCATTTGCGTTCGCCCACAGTTAATCCTTACGATTTTGACTTTGGGAGCAGGTGGAAAGCTAGATGATATCACTGTGATTGTTGGTAAGGTTGTAACTTTACCTGCCGCTGCTAGCTCGAACCAGGTTCAGATGACAGGAATGATGGAGGAGGCTGGTTCCGGTGACACTAGGGGTTTACTTTAGACAAGAGGATGCAATTAACATCCACGTACCTTGCCTTACCTGCCATTATTGGATTACGGCTATGTTCATTGAGAAATCAACCTGTTTTACCATTTTTGGCAACTACTATGATCGTTAATGTACAAAAGATCTCATGTCACTCAACTCAAGATGTTGAAAATGCCCACACATCAACATATCGTACTTGATGTAGAATTATGGGACACCTTTTTCTTTACATTGAACGATTAAATAATGATTTTTTATATATAATTGGAATGGTCAATAAATGGTTATCAAAATGCGAAATCCATGTCTGTCAGGCTGGACTTTTTCCATGCTAACCTCATCATCAAACAAGTGAAAGAATAAAAATCGCAACAATAGAACCGCGTGAACGAAATGACTACAAGTCATTATATGAGATATATCCATGGACCTCAACTGAACTAGTTACTCATCTACAATCCAAAACTTGAAAGTAATTAAACGGAAAATAGTCAAAAAAATATCACATATCCTACTATGCTTCAACATTGAGTCAAGAAAATAACTTTTGCAGCACTTGAATCTTTGGAGTAAAAAATGCAACTTTACATTGCTTCGTCATGAAACCAAATGCAAAAATCGTATGGATTCCTGGCTATAATTACTTGAAACAACAAATGGCAAAATATCCTCTATGGATATTAGTTAAGTAGACTATAGATGTACCTGGAAGTATTTGTCATGCTTACCCATTCATCGTGTGAAGCAAAACTTTCCAACCATCACTTGAGGTGTCCGTTTTGCAGCATCTGTATACATTGGCACAATTCCTCGTGACACTTCAGGTGATAGTGCCACTTTCAGGGCAGCCATCGAGTTGTTGGAAGAAAGATTTTGCTGCTTCATAGGTGGACCAGCAGATTGCAGCAGCCGGGGAGTGGAAGAGAGTTCGAGGAACCCATCCCCTCATGAGGCCCTTGTAGCCATCTTTTTGCACAATTGTTTTAGTCAGGTCCATAATAGCAGTACTCTTAAATCTATCACACCCGCATACACCCTGTGATGCATTTTTTTTTAATAACAATAAGAAGATCAGAGGAGCAAGATGCATAATTAAAACAATTACAGAGGTAAATCTTAATGGATTTCAAAAACCAACAATGTGAACTAAAAGCGAAGCAAACTGAAACAAGAAATTGACCACACGCAAGGACTTAAAATACAAGCGTATCAGCGTATAAAGGAAAGTACGCAGATATAGATGAAGATGGAAATTTACTTTCAGTAATCAGAATGTTGTAGATATTAAAGGCATTGAAATTAAATGTGTTGCAGTAATAAAGACTGGATGCTGTTCATTCCGACTCATAACATTATATTCAAAATTCTGGTGTGCAGATACAAGATGATATGATGCAGCAAATTAACTAAATTCAATATGGAAAAGAATAAGATATGGGGGTCCCTTTTACTATGACATCGCCCTAAACAAATTTTCCTAATATAGCTAGCTAGCAGCAGCAAAATCCAACAAACAAGAAAAAAACAGAGGCAACGCTTGAATTACCTGACACTGCAACTGAGTTTTAACTACATCAAGTGGTGTAGTGACAACCGCTTGAGAATGGTATTAGCGATGGAGTTATTGACAGACAAAACAAAGTTTGATTCTACAAAGTAGGAGGATTAAGACCGAATTGCATACTTGATAGAAGAGAATCGAAAGCGAGGTTTTTGTTTGTTTCTCGCTATTCCTGTTTGTGATTTCTTTATTGTTACATCTGCTCGCCGATAATCATATTTAGAAGCTTTTAAAAGTCAGAGATCAAATTCGACAAGTTCCTTTTCAATTTTAAAATTCAAGACCATGTTTCCAAGAATAAGGGATTATTTTATAGATATTTAATTGATACTCAAGTAAACAAATAATCCGTCTATGGGTAATATGGTAATTTAATTTAAACATTTATTTTTGGGTAATCTACATTGGTGACTTTTTTTTCTTCAAACTGTCTTCTTTTGATCACTGGTTTTGAAAAAGGTACATTTTGTTAACTGAACCGTCAACTACCATCAGCTGTTAGTAAAAATGATTAAATTTTAATTTAATATCTATATTTTAGATAAAATATTGTTTTAACTCTAAACTCTAGATAAAATAATAATTTAATATCTAAACTTTAGATAAAATATTAAATTGACTCATGAATTTAAATAAAGTCTCCATCACTAATGGTCACTCATCATCTATTCATCTTCACTGATCACTATTGGTTGTTATCACCCAGGGATGGGTATGGGTCGGGTTAGGTCGGGTTTTTGATTCACCCGATCCGACCCGAGAGCAAGGGAGCCTTCACCCGAGACCCGACCTAATCCGACTAAAATAAGGTTTCACCCGACCCGAAATAATAAAAAATTTATTTTTTTTCAATAAAAATAGTGACTTAATTGAAAAAAATTATATATAGAGAGGTATTATTGTAATTATTCTTAAATATATAAGATAAAATTATATATTTTTCGGATCGGGTCGGGTATTTTTCACCCTAAACCCGACCCAGCCCAAACCCAAATTTTTAAAAAAAAAAATCGACACGGTCGAGTTGGGTCGGGTCAAAACCCGTCGGGTTCGGGTTGAGTGCCCATACCTACTATCACCTCTCACCACCAACCCTTAAGTTAATTTTTTTTTGTACAAACCTATTTCGAGTTTTAAGCTTAGACAAATATAGTGCGACCCTTGAATATGTTTAATAAAGATGCTTTAACAAGTTGTGATAATCTGCCTGCAGTTTGTTAGGGTTCATTGTCTACACATGGTAATGTATGCAATCAACATATTCTACTGGAGACGGTACTGAGTGAATTACGCCTTCATATTTGGGTTCAAGCCGGATCCGAATTGGACTATCGACAAGTTCTGCTTCTGAGCTTTGCCCTTGGAACATTGGCATTTTCCAAAACAAAAGACTATAAAGCCTTCACCGAACATCTTCCTTTACTCTTGGTCCTGGTAACTAAAGATCACAATTCAACAATCAGTTTACTCAATATTTTGGTCTCGTTGATCTTCAAAACAAACATGTACACATTTTGCGGTTTATATTCATCGCCCTATTCCTTCCATTTGCCATCTTATATTGATCGAGTCGATTCTTCTTCTTCACATAACTCTATACAATGTAAATTAAATAGAAAATATGAATCCTTTCTACATTAAATTTGATCATAATTGCGGATTAATATATTTTTCATGCTGCAGGTCACACTCTCATATTTCTTTTTAGCTGATCTAGTCACGTTTGTGTGAAAAGTTATTGTCGCTACCGTCTTTCGGGTGAGCTTGTAATTGGGCTTCGACTTGAATAATTGGTTAGAGTCGCCACCGATCATTTAAAAACAAGTTTTAGGTTGATCGGACACCATCTTACTTGATCTGCATTTTACCAGGAGTGTGTCGGGTTCGGGAGTCGGTTACAATCAATGAATGATTAACACCCTTGAACCGCCCTTTCGGTACCAATTAATTTTTCGGTTATCTTAATTGCGAAAATTTGAAATTAAAATTAAAATTTAAAAGCATTCGATTCGAATTGTTTACCTTTGATTAGTTGGGATTTCTCTACAAAGTTAAAAATGTTAGAGAAAACAAATATATAAATACTAAATAAATTAAAGTAAACATAAAATAAAAAAAGAAAATTAGAAAAGAAAAAAATATATAAAATATAAAATAAAAATAAATCAATCAATCAAAATAAATCAATAAAATAAAATAAAAATATTAAATAAACCAAAAAAATATAAGATAAAAGAAAAGAAAAGAAAAAAATAAGAAGTAAATAATATATATATATATATATATATATATATGGAAAAGAATGATAAGAAAATATATATACGAAATTAAAAATAAAATATTAAAAATAAATAAAACATGAAAAATAAAAAGAGGACTAATTTAAAAGAAAATGAAATTAGGGGATAAAATTAAAAGTGAAATCATGGTTAAATTCGAATTAAATGGTCAAAATAAATTATTACAAAGAATGAGGGACCAAGACATAATTTGCCCTTTTAACCTATAAAACATGCGAATCCTCTCTCCTGAGTCGGGTCGAAGCGCGGGTCGTAGCTGGGTACACGGGTTGCATATAAAACCAAAAAAATCCCAATTTTCATTCATTTCTCACCTTTCTCTCAAAACAAACAACCCCCATCCTCTCAACTCTCTCAAACTCTCTCCCTTCCCCGATGACCGATCAAAGCCCGACCACCACTCCGGTGGTTAACTGTCGTCTGCCGCCACTTCCGGCCGCCATCGCCGGTGGTCGGAAAAACCAAAAACACTCTGAATGCTCCTCTCCACCCTCCTAAACACCAACTCGTAACTAAAATCCCCCAAAAAGACCCCGAAAATCATAGATCTACGCCTAAAGTTTCGGGGGGGTTTTTACCTTCTATGGCGACTTATCGGCTTCTCCGTCATGCTTGGCTCTTCTCGTGACCGGAGATGCCTTGGTTTTTGCTTATTTGTTTTTGATTTTTGTTGTGGGGCTTCGGCCTTTGGGTTTATGTTTAGATTTGGTTTTTTGTTGTGTTAATGGTGTTTGGTTGATGATCTCGATCTGTATTGTTTCGTGGATTCTCTGTTCTTGTTTTCTGTGGCTCGATGATGATGGTTCTCGATTTACTCTGTTGGTTCTGTCTTAGTCATTGTGGTTCCCTTTGCATGGCCTCATCGGGGGCTTTTATAGCCCCGGTGTGGTTGTTTTTGGCCCCGAAATAAAGGGGGTCATGGTCGTTGTGTGACCGGTCACCCCGGGATGGGTCAATCCCGAGGATCTAGGCCGGTCGTTTCAGTGCTAACACTGTTGACTGGCGCGTGTTGTCACGCCCCCCTTTGAATCCCTCCTATGCGGCGTCGTTGAACATGATGTGGGAACTCTAATTGGATTCTGGGTTGGGTCAGGCCCGCCTAATTGGGCTCCTGCTGGACCGTTTAGACAATAACGCTGGACCTGGACCGAACTGAAAAAATAAAAATAAAAAAGGAATTAATAAAAATATAAACAAATAAATAATAATAATAATAATAATGAAAAAAAGAAATTTAAAACTATATATTATATATAATTTTATTAACAAAAGTTTTCAAATATATATTATATAGTTTTCAAAACGTTTTAAAAAATCATATATTATATACATTTTCAAAATGCTT